CATGGCTCCTCCAGACCCCTCCAACTCTGACCAGGTGGGTGAACCATGTGCTCCTCCTCTAGGTGAGAAAGGGAGCCTAGTTTCCTCCTCTCAGCCTCCGCGACTCATGGGGGAGGGACTGCAAGAGTCACCTCTGACCTGGCCTCCACCATCACCACGGGGATCGTCGCCGTGCTCACCACCGGTCGGGAAGACACAACCCCCATTAAGGAAGGCCGCATTGCCACCAGCCTGCTTCCCTCTTTGCTCATCATAACCCACCATAGGCTGGGTCTCCACTCTTCATGCATGGGAGGTGGGGTGATCCCCAGTCCTGCCGGCTCCTAGCCATGGCAAAAAAGGGGACAAGCGCAGGTTAGTTACACCCAAAAACTCAACTATGAGGGCAAAGGGAAGCATGAATACATACCCAGATGAAAGCGGTAGAACCTTGAAACCTCGACCGGCTGACGATGACCCAACCAAACGAGGATCGCTCGAGGGTCATAGTTCGCACCCCCTCGGACATACCAAGGGTAGGGACGACATGAATGGTCACGGCCACTATCTCACGGCGAGACCACTAGAGCAATCGGTGGGACATCTCCCGTTGAGGGCCATGCACATGCGGTGACCCCGAGGGAACGGGCGATCGATCGCGCTCCCCCGGCCGACTGGCATGTTCCATCACACTCAGAGCAGGGGGCTGAGAAGCCGACGGCGCCTCTAAAGGGTACGGTGACTGCGCTCGCTTTGCCTCTTGTTTGAGGGCGGCATATTCACTCGTGGCGCGCATCCTTGAGTCAGGAACGTCGCCACGTGTCTCCATACCACGCCCACCACCGACAAGCACGGCCACGGGCTCACGGTGCTCCACCAAGGTCATGACCGTGCTCCTATCTCCCTCGTCCTCCGAGGCACTCGCGTCGTCACCCATCTCGTGGGCACCTCCGACTCGAGCTCTCGCCACCCCGGACCCGCTGGTTGATCTCCTTCTCCTTATCAAACCTCCTCTGGACCTTCTTGGCTTTCTTCTTCTTCTTGGCAAGTGTGGCCTCCCTCTAGGCAGCTTGTCGAACCATGCCTTCTAGCCCTCTTGGAAGATGCGGCCGGGATTTATAGCCCGCGAGTCCCTTCAAAATGGGCAACTCAAAATCAATCAAAACATCAAAACAAGAAGGAAAAGGTCACAGGAGAAAGCATACCAAATTGGACAGCTTCTCTCAACTGTAGGGCCCGACCAAGGTAACCCCGGACTTCATCTTTCGACAACTCCTCCGGCGATGCGCGGTCAGGATCCGTCGGGCCAGAGTATTCCCACATCGGCCGTGTCCTTTCCCCTAGTGGGACAACCCGATGGCAGAAGAAGGTGTGGAAGACCCACAACCCATCGAGGTCGTTCCGCACGAGCTTCTGAAGCTATGGCTCGATGATCGCCAACTTTTTCTATTGACAGGAAGGACCCCACGTCCAACTTTCCCTCTTCTTTGGCCTCCCTCCGGTAAACGTCAGGAATGACGCCTCCACCGGGTTCCTGATATAGAACCACTTACCATGCCACCCCCGGTTGGAGTCACTAGGGGAGTACGCAGGGTAGGGGACCAATGGCTTTGCCCTCTTCTGCAGGGCAAAACCCCCAACCGGTGTGATTTTGGGCGGTTTGCCCTTGGATAGGGCTCGCCCGATGAAGACTCGTCGGAATAGATCCACATGCGGCTCCATCCCAAGGAAGGACATGTAGATGATGATGAAGCTAGTGATGTGCAGCACCCTAGTTGGGTTGAGGTGCTGCAACTTCAGGCCCCACTCATTGAGGAGACTACGCAGAAACCAATGCATGGGGTACCCGAGCCCAGCGCTCGTGGAAGGCGAGGAAGGAGATGACCTCATCAGCCCGGGGTCATGGAACAACCTCCCCCGGGGTGGGAGCCCTCTAGTGCGCCACCTCCTTCGACAGAAGCAGCCCCTTCATGGCAAAGTTCGGCCAGCATGGCCTCATCCACATTGGACGGCCTCCAGTTCGACATCGCACCTCAAATTTATGAACAAATCTGAGTTTTTCCTCTCCCTCACTCTGCTCTCCTCTCTCCTAGAAACCACCGTGGCACACGAACAGGCTTGGCGAAAAGGAGGAAGAAGAAATGGCAGCGGTTGAAAAAAGACAAAAGAACGGAAGGAAAATCATCCACCTTCTCCCTATTTAATGCGGAAAGGCATGTGGGTGGGACGTGACCCTGGCTGATGGGACACGACCTACCCGATGGATCATCACCTAGCTAACGGGATGTGGCCTGGGTGAGGCCCACCGCTACCACAACCCGGGCACAAGAAATGTGGCGCAACCACACACAAACGACCCTCTGCCTTCCCAGGCAGGGTTTGGATGGCTCAGCAGCTGCTAGGAGATAGGTAAGGAGCAGTGGGATGCCCCATGCAGGTTATGTTGACTCCGTCATGAACGACTGACCCGGATTCCACTCGGACATATCCGATGGAAGCTCTCCAAACCCTTCACTCCATCCATCGAGATAACTTTACCGACCCCCGTTCTACTTTTCTAGTGCATGAGCATACATTCATCCATTCTCATGCATGCATTCATACATTCAGTCATATATTCATCCCATACATCCAAACATTGCATATGCAATTGATGTATCACAACGCTTCGCATCGCATCATGAAGCAGGAGTCGTCTCATTCGATATGAGCGGCGACCAACCGGGGTTCGAAGGCCAGCCCACGAAGGGCTCGAGGCCGCCTCGCATCAAACGGAGCCAGGAGAAAAAACGTAGATGAGCCCCAGAGGCCCTCACCCAACCAGCTCAAAAGCGGACAGGGTCATCTCAACCTTCTTGTTCGATCCTGGCCTTAAGCCATTCCCATAGAATCTCCATCTAGGGGAGGCCATTGGGCCACCTAAGTCGCTCTCTAGAATGACTCGGGCATCTACTAGGAGGTGGGAGAAGTGGAGTGCCACATGAGGGCTATGCCAACCCTATCACGAACGATAGATCCAAATTCCACTCGGACATACCCGCTAGCATGGTCACCGAAGCTCGTTACTCGAGCCATCGAGGCAAGTGGCATCAGCTCAACTCCTCTGGTTATGAAAACCACGGACGGGGTGACGCATGAAATCATGCGACCGACCCCGACCGACCCCTAGTGGCTCGGGGGCTCGAGCCGCTAGGTCCCGACTTAGGAACCCGGCCGACCGCACAGGTTGCGGTCGGAACGGACACAGGCGAACACCCCAACCGAAAGAGACACAAGAGTCCATAGCCCCAAAAAAGAGTACCAAGATGCTCAGCCTCCGACCGACTCTCCAGTTGGTCATAGGCTTCGGGGGCTACACCCACCGGGTGCGCTCGTGCGCACCTAGTGGAAAATGGATTACAGCGAGTCTCCTCCTTAGGGGTTAGGCGACAATATCCCTCTAGCGCGCCTCTACGGCCTTCGCTAGTCCTACCCATGGAGGCTAGGCACCCGTATTCACTCAACGCGCCTCCATGACGCAATGGGCATAGGAATTACAAAGCAAATACAAGCACTCATTAAGCCAAAGACACGAGCCCCAGGTTTTTACAATAACACGCAAAGCGAGTGTGAACAGCCCTAGGACTACTCCACACCTTGGGGCATAAAGTGGAACAAGGGAGCCAAGATCCTTATTCTCCCGCTACAATGCTCTCCTCCCTCTCTCCGTTCTCTGATCTAGAATCTAGGACAAGGGCCTGTTCGAGACGTACGATGCTCTCTCCTTATGAGAGATCTTCTAGCATCGTACTCCCATGCGCCCTCAAAAGCGGCAACTCAACAGCCCCTTCACGGCTTCACAGAAGCCCTAAAGGGGCTCGGGGTCCCCAATGGACCCGCTTCCCTGCAAAACTCAGCCCAACAGGCGGCACAGCGACAGCACGTGCCTAGGCCAACCCAGATACACAAATGACAGGTCAAGACCACGATCCGGTCCCTGACTGACGCCTCCAGCCAGGAGATCTGATCAAAGGTGCGACTGGAAGGCCTGGCCATGGTGGGACCACAGTCCGACTCTGACCCCCTTTCTCCGACCGAGAATACGTCAGGACCTCTGCTCGCTGCTCTTTCCCGACCGACACGGTCGGGGACGACTGGGAGCGACCGACCGGGGACGCCCGCTCGATATGGGCCCGGGAGCAAGTGGAACAGATAAGGTAAGGCGCTCAAGTCAACCGCAATATCGAGGACCGTACCCTACCATGCCCTGCGCACCTGTAGGATGGTGCCATTGGGGCATGTCAGACGAACACGATAGAGCCTACCAGACGCGTCAGAGCATAAATAGTATTATGGGCACCTTCGTTTGCCGTACCAGGCGAACATGGTAGAGCCTGCCGGACACATCTGAACATAAACAGTAGTATGGACGCTGACGGCTATCCCATACCCAATGACGTGGGCAACAAGACTAGGCAGCGCTCGTATGAACTCTCTCTTTCTCTCTGACTTGTAAGTCATTTCCTTCAACTATAAAAGAGGATGCGCTCTCTCCCACCAGAAGGATAGAAGCTTCGAACCCCCTGAAGCCCCGAAGACTCGAGGACTCGAGGACAACAGCACAACGGCTCTAGAGCTCGATAACTACACACTCTACACGCTCTCAACAGGTGATAAGTTCGGATATACAGAGCATACGCACCGATACTTAGCGCACATTCGAGCATCCGTTACTCTTTTCCACTCGACCTCATAGTCCGACCGGGTCTCTAACCCTCCCCTTTTCATTCCTTACTCATTTGTAACCCCACAACAAACTTCGAGCATCTGGGCTCAGAAATATAGTCACCAATCGACCTCAACTGAACGTAGGGCCTGTTGCCTAAACTAGTATAAATCTTATGTCATTGAGTACTAGATCACATCCAATCACAAACGTACGACAAAGTTAGCCACATTTAACACCGACACCAGACTTTCATAATGCACGCGGGACCTGTTTGTTTGCTGTATGGCCCTTCTAGCCAGGCTTATGTAAGCCCATGAGGGGGGGCAGCCAAGCTTGCTGGAAACGCTCACCCCCATCGTTCCCGTGGAGCCTGGCTTGCACAGGAGCCGTCCCGATTCCCCTCACCTCCTCTCCATCCTCTACCTCGCCGCGCTCGCGCTCGCACCTCGCTCCACCTCACTTCCAACCACCGGTCGTTGGCCTCCACCTCGCCTCTGTCCCCGGCGAGGTCGCCTTCACCCCCGGCGGTGGTGTGCTCCCTAGGAGGCGCGACCGAGAGGAGGAGCCCGACCGCTGGTGCTGCCTCCACCACCTCGCACACCGGCACGCCTCCACCACCTCGCACGCCGGCGAAGGATCTGGCCCACGAGCTCCTCAGGTGGGATCTGGCGCTTCGTCGCGGGTTGGCCATGGCGAGGAGGTCGCGGCGGTCATGGCGGACGGTTCCGGCGACGAAGGCTAAGCATCTCACGCGGCCATGGCAAGCAGAAGCAGTAGTCGAGTGGAGCGGACATGGCGAGGAGCACTGCGTCCATGGCAAGGGGGCGGAGGTGCTTCAGCCACGTCCATGGCGAGGGGCCGGAGGAGGAGCATCGCAAGCATGGGCGGCCATGGGAGCTCCACCGCCGGCAACGGGGCACAGCTCCACCTCCACCGGCCACGGCCATGGGAGCAACCTCGACGCAACCACAGATGATGCCTACCAAGTGTTTGACAAAATGCACCAAAGGGGTAACCGTGATTGTATCAAAGAAAAGCAGTCAACCAAACTTTCTAACCCAGGCTTAGTTTTGCTGGCCAGGCTCGGTGAGGAAGAGAACCAAACACACCCGAAATGTACCCACCCAAGGGCCTGTTTAAGCGAAATTTTTTACAAAATGCACTATAGCACTTTTCGTTGTTATTTAGTAATTAGTGTCTAATCATAGTCTAATTAAGCTTAAAAGATTCGTCTCGTGAATTTTATTTAAACTGTGTAATTATTTTTATTTTTTATTTATATTTAATGTTTCATGTATGCGTTCAAAGATTCGATGTGACGGGAATCTGAAAAATTTGGCAAAATTTTCTGGAACTAAACCGGACCCAAGTACCAAACCAAGAAACACAAAACATTTTTCTAAAACCAATAATGGGAAGCAGTATGCAGAATGACTCCTTGGTGGCATGGTGCAGCACATTTTATGGTAGAGTACATACACAAATAAACATTTATAAGTATGGCATGAAATCAACATACTGATTACTACTAACCCCTACAAAAAAATCCGCATAAGTCCTACATGTGATTCATCAGGGTAACAACTAAAAATTCATGAAACAAAGCATGTTCATCTAATAGCTTATCCAAGCACAGTTCATCTATCTAAAACTAGAAAAGGTAATAAAAAGATACTTTGTGAGATAACAGTGACTTGTGTATGACGCCCATTGTCCTCTCCTACGGCATGGCACCGGCTGCACAGCTCCACGACAGTGAACTTAACTGTAGCAGGAACTTTATCCTTGATGTAACATGAGCGCCCTATGGGCTTCCCTGAAGTGAACACTACTCTTGATCATCATCATGGCGTGGCATTCCCTTGAACTTTCAGGACAACTAAAACCATCAAGGGTGTCCAATGTAAGACACTCGAGTGACACCATGTTCTCGAGAATGTAGCATGCTAGCCCTGTTTAATTCCTTCAAACTTCTGAAAAGTGCACTATAAAAAAAAATTCATCGTCACATTAAACTTGTGGTACATGTACAGAGTACTAAATGTAGACGAAATCAAAAACTAATTGCACAGTTTGCTTTAACTTTGCGAGACGAATCTTTTAAGCCTAATTAGTCAATGTTTGGACAATAATTTACAAATACAAACAAAATGCTACAGTAGAGAATCTTTACTATGCAAAGTTTGCCCAACTAAACAGCCCCCTAGTTCAACCAAGCTCTTTGCAGAGTTGAAGCCTGTCATCTTCACATTCTTGAGGCAGCAATGGCGGCGTTCCGGCATCTGCCTCAGACCATAGGAATCTTCAAAAACCGATTTCTGCTGCATAAATTTCAGAGCCACCTAATGGTAAAGGAATAAATCGAGTCATTAGATATGTATGCATGCATGTTTGCAGCAGGACGCATGCAGTGAACCAACAGCGCCTTACATTCAAGATCAGTGTCTCCAAGAAGGGAGACGCGTCAAGGAAAGAAACTAGAGAAAGATAATCGTAGGGCAGGGGCAAGGAATCTCCTGATGTAATATCAATGACGAGGTGCTTGAGGTGGAGGAATTTTGTAGGCAGCACTGGTGTGTTGCCAAACTGCACAACATATATATGTCAAATAAATCTCAGATTAATTGTAAACAAGGTACGGCTACTACTTTCTTTCTACGTACCTTAATATGCATGCATAAATAACACATTATGTATGTTTTAGAAATAAATACATACCTCGGTACTTGAGATTATATGAAGGGTCTCAAGATTTGGCACAATGGATGGAAACTCAAAACTAGCAAAATAGAGATTCCGTACTATGCTTAATCTCTTCATTTGCATGTTGCCTGCAAGTGAGAGCTTTACATTTCCGTTGAAGTGTAAACTAGAGAGGTTTGCAGCTTTGCTCTCTAGCACTCGCAGCCAACAGCATTTAGAAACCGTCAGGCTGCTAAGCTTTTGCAGCGCGCGAGGTATCTTCAGGCAAATTATCCTCACGCAATCTTTGACGTTCTGCTGCTCCAAAGCATGACACCTTGAAAGAAAGCCCTCCACCTCATCGTCGGTAACATTTACATGATGCAGGCTCAGAATTGCTAGGTTTCTCAAGGGGCCAAGCTCTGCGGTCGGGTGAAAGGCGCAGAAGCCAAGCTCTTAAGATAGCGAATTGAGTTACCAGCCCTTGTGCTGGATAAAACTGAGCATGGGAACTGTACTCTAGTGTCCAAACAGTGCCACGTGGTATCACAGTGAGTTCTTCAGTCGTTGGCTTGACAATATTCTTAAGCCAACGGTCAAAGAAATAGGTGCCAAAACAAGCTGATAATTGGATAACCAATATCTTCACACCGATGCCTGAGTGTTTTCTTAGAATGTGATCAATTATGTCGCTGAAGTTCACTTCATATCCATGTTTTTTTAGATTAACGTGTGCCTATTCAAGATGAGATTGGGACGGCATCTCCAAGAACGTAGAAAGGCATGAGACGTGCAAGCGGCACGGGCAGCATCACGGATTGGCACTAGTGAATGTATGTGGTGCCAGATGTCCTGCATACAAGCATGGGAATTAATTAACAAAGATTAAACAGACGAGCCAAAATTTTACAGGACACAAGGGGTAATTGTATCAAATAGCATAAATATAATAGTCACATGCTTTGTGTTATTGGTGATCATACATGCAGGCTCTACATGGTAGGAGTGTGATATATTACTTATTACTTATAAGATAAGAATGGGGTTTTTCCATTCAGTAATTAAGAGCATCTCCAATGGTTTGCCAAATTGCACTTGCCAAATCTTGGGTTTTGGCAAGTGGCTAAAACAAATGGCAAGTGAAATAATCTTGTATCTCCAATGGTTTGGCATTTGGGCTTGGTAAAATAGAAAAGGAGGCCCACATCCTTCAACCGTTCAACTGTCGCGACGCTCGGCCTGGACCGCGCCCGTGTCTCTTCATATGCTCGGTGCCGAGATCTCGTGGCCGTCGTGCGTCGCTGCTTCATCGCGGCGATCTCCATCTGCTGGCCGCCATCCTACGCCGGTCTCCATCTCCTGGACGTGGTGCTGCGCCGTGGTCTCCATCTCCTGGCCGCCGTGCTGTGCCGATCTTTGATTCCGCCGTGTCTCCATCGTACGCAGGTCAGTATCTCGTTCCCAGAGTGCTCCAAGTTGGTTCGTAGCATCTCGTTCCCAGCATCTCGTTCAAGTTATTTGTTCCCAGCCTCCTCCGTATTTGTTCAGTATCATGAATATGCCTAGATGAATACATTGAGTTTGATTTTTTCAAAAATTACATTGAGTTTGTTCAGGCTGCTGTCTACATGTTCAGATTCCAATCAATATGTTCAGGTTACTGTTTTTGATTTTTTTTTCAGATGTTAGCGTATGAAAAAAATGTAGCCAAAAATAATATTGCATCAACGAATTATGGAGAGTTTTAGTTATGATTTGTTTATTGCAGCAACCTAGTTCTTATTTTCAGTTATTGTGAATTGGGGTTTTGATTTAGGATATATTTGTCGTTCAGGAATCATGTCTAGGAAGAGATCCCTTCTTGAACGTTAATTGGATGATTCATCATCCGATGATGAGGATTGTTTGATATTAGGGATCTGCTGCAATTGTTGATACTTTTGCCAATGAAAAAAAACACGGTGGCTCTGTCCTAGGTCGTAGAATGATTTACCGTGATGAAAAGGCGCCATGAGAGGATGTTTCAAGATTATTTGGCGATTGAATCCAACATATGGCCCTGAATTATTCCGTCGAAGGTTGGTGTTCTTTCACTCCGGATTGACTTGTTATCTCGTGTTTAAATATTATCTTGGAGTTTGTAAAATTTATTTTTTTCCAGGTACAGGATGTCTAGGGAGCTTTTCCCACGCATAATGAACGTCGTTGAAGCACTAATAACGATGATTACTTTGTGCGTAAAAGGGACGCGCAAATGTACTTGGGTTGAGTTGCTTCCAAAAAATCACTGCTTGCAATGCGTATGATCACCTATGGGGTTCCGCCGATGTTACGCAGATGAGTACATTCGCATTGGCGAAAGTATCTTGATTTGAGAGCCTACGGAGGTTTGTTGTTGCGATGGATGAAATCTTTGGAGAAAAGTATCTCGAGATATCCCCGAGGCGGACACAACACGCTTACTTGCAATCGGTGAGCAAAAAGGTTTTCCGGCATGTTAGGTTCTATCGATTGTATGCATTGGGCTTGGAAGAACTGTCGCAGACGATAAGGTGGTGGTACAAAGGGGCATGTGGAGCAGCCCACCATCATTTTGGAGGCAGTTGCTTCGAACGACCTTTGGATATGGCATGCCTTCTTTGGAATGCCCGGGTCTCATAATGACATCAATGTTCTGCATAGGTCACCTTTGTTTGATAACTTGGCAGAAGGTAGAGCTCCACAAGTTAACTATTCCATTAACGGCCATGATTACACAATGGGCTACTACCTAGCTGATGGCATATACCCCACATGGGCTACTTTAGTCAAGTCGATCAGTCTTCCTCAAGGGAACAAGAGGCAATATTTTGCCAAAGCGCAAGAAGCAGCTAGGAAAATGGTCGAAAGAGCTTTTGGGGTTCTTCAAGCTAGGTTTGCTATTGTTCGAGGTCCCGTTCACATTTGGGACAAAGATACAATATCTCAGATTATGAGAGCTTGTGTGATCATGCATAACATGATTGTGGAAGATGAAGGATTCGTGGTCGACCCTAACGAGCGTTTTGATTATGGTGGAAA